CGGGGGCCGCGGGCGCGGCGGGCGCGACGGCGGCCGGGACGGCGGCAGGCAAGGCCGCGGGCGCGGCCGTCCGGAAGAGCCTTTAGAGCAGCAGCAGCAGCCGCCACCGCCGCCTGAAGCCTGGACCTCTGGTGTATCAGACTACCTGAAAACAGAGCTGCCAGATGTTCACAGCCAGCTGCAGGTGCCACCCGGCTGCGACAAGCAGGCCGGCTATCTTTGGCGCCGGTGGACGAGCGGCGCCATCGACAAAGGGCAGGTCGCCGTGTGGCAGCGTTGGAGGGAGCGGGCGCGCGCCGGCGGATTCGCGGGCGCCGGCGGCGGCTGGCAGGTTGCTGGCGCCGAAAAGGCCGCAGCGACGGCGCACTTCAGGGAGCGGCTCGCGGCGCTGAAAGCTGCAGAGGCGCGCTGGGCGCACGTGGCCGACCCCGCGGCCGGCCCCGTGGAGATGCTGGAGGACATCTGGGCGCTGCCGCCGCGCCTGCGCGCGCCGCTGGCCGCGGCGTGGCGCCGCGGCGCGCGCGGGGAGGCGGCGGAGGAGCTGGCGGGCGTGCTGGAGCGCGTGGGGCGGCTGCAGCAGGAGCGGACTGAGCTGTATGATGGAAGCCTTGAGGCGGTGCTGCGTAAGGTGGGTGCGCGCTGATGGTGTGAGTGCGCACGCGCACTCGTGTGTGTGTGTGTGTGTGTGTGTGTGTGTGTGTGTGTGTGTGTGTGTGTGTGTGTGTGTGTGTGTGTGTGTGTGTGTGTGTGTACAGGTGCAGTGTGATGGTGTGTTGGTAGATGATCAGCATTATGGCAAGAGACAGAATCACACACTCGACTCAGTCTGTTGCACACGGTGGCACTCATGGAGTCCCAGTGCCTGCAGCAACCCTGAACCCTTGCCCCCCCCCCCCCGCCAATTCGCGCAGGCGCGCGTCATCGGCTGCACCACCACCGGCGCCGCGATGCACCAGGCCCTGCTGACTGGCCCTTCCGTGGCGCCTGGGTGCGTGGCAACGGCTTGGTCTCTCTGCGCTTGCGCAGCCGCCCTGCGGTTTCTGCCGTGCGTGCTGCACACACAACGGCGTGCCTGCATCGCTCGCGCCCGCTGATCCTAAGCCGTTGGCGCATGAGTTTTGGGCTTTCCACCTCAGCACGAAGGCGCTCGTCTGGCCGCCCCTCATCATCCGTCCTGGACACACACCCTCCCCTCCTAATGAGCACCCCTCACCCCCATGCCCTCACTTGCTCTGCGCCTCTTCGTTTCGCCACTGCCTTCGACCTGCACCTGATGTGTCACACGACTGAGCGCTTGGCACCACGCACGTCCGTCCCTCAAACTTTTCAACGTTGATTCCCCTTATCCCGTCCTGCCGCCTGCCCCCAGGGTCGTCATGGTGGAGGAGGCGGCAGAAATCTTGGAGGCTCACGTCATCACGGCCCTCAGCCAGCGCACCAAGCACGTCATCCTGATAGGAGACCACAAGCAGCTCAGGCCCAAGGTGCATGGACACCAGGGGTTGATTTGCGTGCGTGTGTCTGGCTTGTAAGGATTACACGTGCGTATGTGCATGCGCGTGCACACGTGCACACACACACACACACACACACACACACACACACACACACACACACACACACGCACGCACGCACGCACGCACGCACGCACGCACGCACGTACGCACGCACGCACGCACAGGTTGACAACTGGGAGCTGGCTGTCCAGTCTGGCAACGGTTACAACCTCAATGTCTCCCTCTTTGAGCGGCTGGTGCTTGCCGGCTTCCCGCACGCGACGCTGGGGGTCCAGGTAAGCGACGCGTCCCGCCACTCAGCCCCTGCGGCCGTCCATGCGTACCGCCAGCTGGCAAGGTCCCGCCCTGCAAACCCTCGCCGGGTGGATTGTAGTGGGACGCGGATGTCCCCCAGCTGCGGCAGAAGCAGAGCTGCAACCAGAGAGCTGGGACGCCTCTGGTTTGCGGAGCCACAGCTTCCGTTAGCCCGCAATATTTCAAACCCACCTTCTGCCTTGCAGCCTGCCTTCAAAGCGCCCGGAGCCTGTTTCCCGTTGCTTTTCCGCCCTCGCGACCTCCAAGCCCCCCAACTCTTGACCTCCCATACCCCCGACGCCGCAGCACCGCATGCACCCGGACATCTCGCGCCTCATAAAGCACACCTACCCGGCCCTGCAAGACCACCCCAGCGTGGCCGGCCACCCGCCCGTCCTCGGCCTCGCGCCCGGCCGCCGCGTGCTGTTTATAAATCATGATGTGGAGGAGGACGGCGCCGCGCGGCGCGGGTGGTCAGCGCGGCAGGACCTTGCGCAGCAGTCAAAGTCGAACGGGCACGAGGCGCGGCTGGCGGTGGCGTGCGTGAGCTACTTCGTGCAGCAGGGCTACGACGCGTCGCGGATCGTCATCCTCACGCCCTACCTGGTGGGTGCCCGTCCGACACACGTGCATACAGGGAACACAACAAAGGATTTGGCTGTTCAGGCACACCAGCTGGCTGCTGCCGGCACCCTCGATGTGCCAAGGGCCCGAGCTCCCTTGGTAGCACGCACATTCCACCCCGGCAACAGCGGCTGCACACGCACGCGCACCAGCCCAAGCCTCTTGCCGTTATTGCTTCCTGCAATATCACCTGGAGGTGAAAATTGAAGGTAGCAATGACAACGACCTGCAACTTCACATGATGTACACGACCCCAGGGCCAGCTGATGGAGCTGCACAGGGAGATGGCCGCGGCCCGGCTGGACGCGGCCCTCAATGACAGGGACCTCCGGGACCTGCGGGCGGCGGCGGGGGCGGAGGCCGCCGGGATCAAGGGCGGCGGCAACGGCGGGGGCGGCGGGGGCGCCGGGAGCGTCAGGGCGGCCACGATCGACAACTGCCAGGTGGGTATTCTTCGCGCTGTGAGGGGTGCCGATGCGGCCGCGGACCTGGTTGCGTTCGCAGCGCTTGTTGCTGAGGACGGGACCGTCTGGCTCGGCGGTTCCAAAAAGGGCGCCGCTCGCTTGGCGAGTACGACAGCCAACCGCAGGCCTTGGCCTTGGCTCATGGCTGCCAAGCCTTATTGGCAGGCAAGACACGCATTCCAGCCGCTGCTCGTCTGGCGGCAGCCCTCGCCCTTCTTTTCACTGCGTGCGTGCTTCCTGGGTCCGTGCCTGCCCAGGGCGAGGAGTCTGATCTGGTGGTGGCCACACTAGTCCGTAGCAACCCCAAAGGCAGCGTTGGCTTCCTCAGGTGGGGCTTTGCGGCATGCACTGTGCAGTGCCCAATTTGTTTTTTGTTTGGGTTGGGGTTTTGGTTTCGGGTTTTAGTGTCTCGAACCCTGCTCGACCGCGCTTGCCTGCTCTACTCTGCTGACAGCAAGCTGCCAGCCGACCCCAAGCCCACAAACTTGCTGGATTTATCCTAATTTCTTTGCCCGTTCAACATGTGCCCCTGCCAAGGGAGCCCGAGCGCATCAACGTGCTGCTGTCGCGCGCCCGCCACCTGCTGCTGCTCATCGGGAACGCGCAAACGCTGCGCGGCGCATCCAACGCGGCGGCGCGCCACCACTGGGGTGTGGTGCTCAACAAAATCGAGGTCGCCGGCGGCATGGTGGACGGCCTGCCCGCGGTGAGGGGCGAATGAGGCCATATTCACAATGGTGCATTTGCTCCCAGATCGCAACAAACCTTCAGAAAGACCCCAGTCAAGACCACTGCCTGCAGGCAGGCTGTAACGTGCCTGCTTGCTTGTTGTTGCATGTTTCAAGCTGCATTTGGCCGTGCTGAGTAATCCCCTTAATGTACCCACCCCCACCCGTGCCCCTCTCAGGTGTGCCAGCAGCACGGTCATGTCACCCACCCCTTCCTCGCCGCCCCCGAGGACTTTGCGGCCCGCGCCCCCAACGGCGGCTGCACGCAGCCGTGCGGCGATTCGCTGCCCTGCGGCCACGCGTGCCCGCTACGGTGCCACGCATACGACAGGGACCACGCGAACGCTTTCTGCAGGGAACTGGTGTACAGCTACTGCGACGCCGGCCACCTCGTCAGCCGCCGCTGCAGCGACCCCGCGGGCGCGTGCGGCACGTGCGCCGAGATCCGGCGCGTGCAGGAGGAGGAGAGGAGGCGGGTGGAGGAGCTGGTGCGCAAGCATGAGATGGTGATGCGTGCACCTCTGCCACCTTTCTCACTGGCATAGTCATACCATGGCATCTTTCAGATGGGATATGTGACCTGCCTCACTAACAGCCTTGTACATTGGGAGCTTCTTGAGTGACTTGACGACTTTGCAAACCTGGTCTTGGCTGCGCTGTCCTCAATCCTTAGTGGCTGGTGCTGGCGGCACAGTCGCCACGTCAGCATTGCAGACCTTTGCGCCCTCACCACCCAATCACTCATGCAGGAGAAAGACGCGGCCAGGAAGCGGGCACAGGCTGATGTGCAGAAGGCGAAAATGGAGGCCAGGTGGGCGACAGACACGCACACCCCAGCACACGCTGACAAACATCATGTGCACACACAAGGGCAGTCCCACCTGGCTGCACCGGTGCACAAGCACCTGTGAGCTTACATGCACACGCACGCACGCACGCACGCACGCACGCACGCACGCACGCACGCACGCACGCACGCACGCACA